AATGTAGTCCCAGTCCCGCATGATTTCAACTGGATTGAGGTTGCAAAAGTTTTATTGGGACGTGAAAATGCTTGGCCCCTACCTACTGCAGATTGGTATCAGATTGACCTCACCCCTTCTATAGTCATCCTATGGTTGTTCATATGCCACAACATCGAGCCAATATCCCATAGGACGACATTCGCAAATCAAAAGGTGGGGTTTATCTATCATTTAGTTCGGGAAAACAAGATTGACTTTGCCACTTATATCTACAACCAGATACACATTACAGTGCATGGGGAGACAAGCACACCTCACTGATTTTCCCGAACTTGATAAGTGGAATTTGTAGAGCTGCAGGCATACAAGTTTAGCCTGGGGAGGCACCGAAGAAACCAAGTCCCTAAATCAAGCGCCTCACACTCGAGGCCCAGGACCGGGCCAGAATTAAACATCAACAGAAGTTGGAAAATGAGTGACGCCGACAGCAACAGGCTGAGGAAGGGCAAGCAGTTGAGGACTTTGAAATGTCACAAGCTCTTCCACCACCGACTGACATGAATACCCAGTTATTGAGGCAGATGTTTGCCACTATGATAGGACACAGCCGAGACATGCAGAGCTTTCAGCACTCATTTGGAGTATTGAGTACCACCATCCAGCAAGTGCAGACTGATATTGCAACAACACGAAACATCGCTTCCACTGCCAGCAGTGAGTCCCTTGCAGCGCGAAGACAGATGAGTACTTTTGACGGGCGATTGGGCATATACGTTGGCAGGATGGATGCTATACAGTGGCGGGGAAACGAGACATGGGACCGTCTAAGGAGTTTGGAGACAAGGGTTCAGGCCATGCAAGTGGAGCAGACCCAGCAGTCTGCCATATTGAGAGAAATTTTATCCCGCCTTCCTCCCCCTCCTGAAGATGATGCTGCCGGACCCAGCCTTCCATCACAGCCACCATTTTGATCAGGGGAGTACTGTTTACTCCATTTTGATTTTTTTTCTTCATTTTGTCCTTAAAATTATGTCTTTAATCTTATGTTAATCTTACATTGAGGACAATGTATTAACTAAGTTTGGGGAGTGTGACATAATTTTAAATCTTTATCTGTATTCATCATTATCTATTTTCCATTACTGCATAATGTATGCATGATGAGTGTAAAAAAAATAAAAATTTCTTTGCATTTTATTTAGTTTGTTTTCTCTTCATGCATGCTTGTGTGTGCTTGATAACCTTGTTAGCTATGATGATATTATTGGACTAGTTTAAACTGCAAAACTTTAGATCTGGTGTTAATTAGACTAACTGATACTTGTTGATGCAACACTTGACATTATCTATGCACGCTATTCATGCTTGACATATTAGGTGCATGACTGGATTTTGAGCATAAAGTAGAAAAAGAATGATAACCCTCTATTGAATTAACCCATAAACTAATTTAAGACAGTTTGGTGATGGTTGAGCTATTATAGAGGAGCGTTGAGATGAGCAGGGGCTCCGTGCATGAATTTTATTGTGTGGATTGCATAGACCAGTGGGGTGAAGAGTAGTTGAAAATCTTAAATTGGGGGTTGGTTTTGAAAACTAAATATCTAGAAAAACAACAAAGGGCATAAAATTAATATGTGAAAATAAGATACTTCTTTTCATGCCTTTATGACTCGAGCAAGTAAGCCTGTAAGGATATTTTAAAATCTGGTACCCCAAAGCCAACTGGTTTGGGAGTCACCGACCCAAAGCTCGATACATGGGTCATATAGAAAGCAAGAGGGAAAGAGGTTAATAAAAAGTCATCTGATCGAGCTTTTATAACTCGAGTGAATAAACTTGCAAGGATTTAAAACCTGGTGCCCTCAAGCCAATTGGCTTGGGAGTCACCGGCCTAAAGCTCGTTACATGGGTTATACAGAAAGTAAGTGAGAAGATGATAATAAATCTTTTAAAATTAGAGAAAAGTGAGAAAAATAAAAGAGAGATAATAACATGACGAAAAGCCCTTGGACATTTGGTTGGAGAAACTAAACCTTTGAGGCGAGGCAAGTAACCTAGTTTAATCTTGAGTGTCGAGGCAATCAAACTTAGGAGAGCCTTCACTCGTTGAAATGTAAACTTGTGATAGTAAGACTAATCCAAACTACGAGAGGGTGAGGACTACAACTATGTAAATTCCTAATCTTAAAACACAATCCCGGGATAATTGAGTGAAAAGAATAAATTTGGAGGGGTTGTGTATCTCTCGAGCGAGTAAGGATACATTTGACCACTTGGGGTCGGGACTTAAATTTATCATGAACCTGATATGTTGGCATGAATTCACACACACACGTCAATTTGCATTTAACAGGTAAAGGTTGATGTCATTTTTGCACTGATAAATATTCATAAAGTCAAATACTTAGTCCAATTCTAAGCCACAACAGGGTATTAAGCCATGTTTGTTCAGAATTAAGTCACTATCTTGTTTGAGGACAAATAATAGCTCAAGTTTGGGGGGTTTGATAAGTGTGCTTGTGCACACTTATTTAGGTCACAAACATGACTTAATAACGAGCAAAATGATTGAATTGTGACTTAATCTCACTACATTTGTGAATTTTAGGGAATACTAATGAACATGGTAAAATTCAGGAGAAAAGAAGCGAAAAAGGACTAAAATGACGCAAATTGAAAGTTCAGGGACCAAGGTGCAATTATCCAAAAGTTGACCCGATGAACAAATCGAGAAATTGATTAATCCAAATGTCAATTGATGATATCTTGGGATGATGGAATGGAAAGAATGAAAAAAAAATGCCAAGAAGTGAATGATTCAAATAGAAGGACCAAAATAAACTTCTTCCATAGTTGGTAGCACTATGCGACCGCATAGTGCTACCCTCTATGCGGCCGCATAGAGGCAAACCGAAATTTAATTGTAACAAAACTTTTACTCTATGCGACCGCATAGAGATTCTCTATGCGTCGCATAGAGCATTTTTAGTCCAAATCCGTGGTTTCCTAATTCCGCCGAAACTGTTATGGAAACAATCATTTTAGGGTCCTATATAAATGAAAACTCGATCAGAACAAAAGGGATGTCATTTTTACAAGAGAAAGGGAGATTTTGAAGAAGAAAACGAGGAGCAAACAAGAGGAAAACATCGCGCCAAGTGAAGATTCGATTGAAACTTGATTCGGGTGATGACGTTTCTTCAATTATTTTTATATTTTCTTCTTTTTAGCATGTTAGGCTAAATTTTTCATTGCTAGGAAATCGATGAACCTTGCAATCCTACGTTTTTATTTTTGATTTAGATATTTGACAATTTTAAACGCATGTTTCGGAATTGAATGATTTATTACGTTTTTATTTCCATAATATTATTGTGCATGTAATTATATGGTTTTGGTGGCCTGTCTTATGCATTAGAAAGAAGGAAAATAGGCTCGACATAGTATAAATCATCGTAAGGTCCGATAGCGGATAAAAATATACCTCTATGCCTTGTGTGAATTGTTGAATATTCATTAAATCATAATGCATTCCTGTATGCTAGTATTCGTCATAGAGATATAGTCGAATCACATATTGGGGTAGGTTTGGCATTGCTCGAGAGAGATTGCTAAATTAGAATAAGAATATTGATTCATTATTTGTGGGACTTGTGTCAAATTTGCATAATTGAAAATTGAACGGATATTGCTTGAGAATTCCTGATCCTAGTGCATTAGTAAATTCATTAATTCCATAAATTTTCATAAATTGTGTCCAAGTCATTTCGCATTCAATATAATTCTCTCATTCATAATTGCATCATAGTTTACGTATTCTTTAATTAAATCACAATACATCAATTTTACTTTCGTGTTTCGGTTAAGGTCATAATAGGTTGATTTGAATTAATTAAATCCTTGTGGGATCGATACCTGAACTCATAGTTCATTTTGCTACCTGTTAACGAACCGTACACTTGTGGTGGGTTTTAAATCGAAACAAATAATTTCATGAACATAGCCGAACTCGAGGCTTGTCTAACACATGATTAAGGGCGATTCACGGAGTTGAAAGTTGAAAGTGTTGCAATTCACAATTTCACCATAATTACTTTTAAATTTCATAAATCATGAATTTGTGATCAAGTAATTCAAGTATTAAGAAAAGAAATAAATTCAATAAATAAAATAATTAACTTCACAAATCTTGATAATTGAAATTAAATATTCAAATCAAGGTTACATCGTTCATCCAACTAATGATTTAGTCACATCATAACGAGAGAAAAACACAAAAGGGTTTTGTAATACATCATTGAGCTTAAAGAAAAAAACGGAGAAAAGGATGAACTCCTTGCACCAAGAATTCGCATTCTTCGTGCCAAGTACTTGAAACCATAGCATTTCTCTTTAACTTCTGGTATGTTCCTCCTTTGATCCTCCTTTATTTGACATAAACTAGGTCTTTATAGTGCACAATCTACCTTGAAAGTCATGCCCTCGAAAGGACCAAAATACCCTCGAATTGAAACTTGTAAAATAAAAGTCAAAATTTTTTGCGCAAAACCCCCCTGCAATTTTTAGTTTTTCTTTTATTGCGTTTTGGTTTCTGCTTCAAGTTTTTTGTATGATTTTGGCTCTTTTTGTCTAAGTCTTCTATATTGATCCCACAACTTTCAAAGCGTCCTCGTTGGTCCCCAAACCTCCATAATCATCCCAAATGGATCATTCTCAAGTTTAAAAAGAGTGCAAATCAGTCTCTAATTTTTTCATAAGTTAGATATCACTCCCTAAACTTATGAATTTCCTTCAATTAAGCTCCAAATCTTCCAAGTAACTCCAGAGTCCTGGTCTTACGTATAATGACAATATTTACACGAAATTAAATAGGAATTTGCTCAATTTATAAATATATATCAAGTTTATGAGTACCAATAACTATATAAAACACACTATCAATTATACTCTCCGCATTTCAATAAATACTTTACTCGTTGAATTTTCTTAAATTGCACATAAAACATTGGAGTCATATGAAGCTTCACTTTCCCTCACGGCTAAGTATAGTGGTTGCAGTCGAAGGCTGGCTTTTTAGAGGTTGTTGGGTGTTAATGCTGCAACCTGGTCTATATAATGGGATTTGAAATTATACGTATAGAAAATTGGGTTTATATAGAATATTTTAGAATGTTTGGGGTTCACTTTGAAATATTTTATTAGTATCTTTATGGTACTACTTTCTTTGGGCTTTTGTTGATGTGAATCATGTGATGCTGATAATTAAACCAGTTGCTTTTTAATTGTCTATTTAGTATTTAACAGTATAATATTATAGAATAAAAATAACTCTTATTCATTATTAGAACTCATACACCTTTACTTTTTTTAACCATAAAAATTGTTTTTCCTTCAGAAATCTCTTCCACACAAGCTCTTACCGTAATTTAAAATTTTATATTTTACATATATTAATTTACTGAAAGATAATGTAAAACATTATAAATAGTTGAACAAACAAAATTCTCCTCTGACGATAATAAATCATATCACGTTATTGATCCAATAAATTCAACGTTTTGTAAGACTACATATCATAACACAGAAATTTATTGGTAGCGTACTCAATCAAACGGGTGATTTTCTCCCCAACTACGGATCCCATACCACCCCCATAAACTGAAAATCCATGACCCCAATTGCTACGGAAATACCATTTTGTTGACCTATGCCCGTTTATACAACTATTTATAAGCATATGAGAAATGAAAGATAAATAATAAAACAAATCATCATGCATGTTCCTACCTTTTCTTTGACGATTTGACGAGTGTGTGTTGGAAATTGTGTAACTTTTTCTTCGTTTGAAAGATTGAGT